AAAAATCTTATCCGGTAAGAGCGAAACAAGGACCAAGAGTTTTACTCGATAAGTGAGGGCGGCGACTCTTACCATGGTAAACGCTTACCTGGTAAATTGTTGCATACAATGTCATTTCAGTAGACTAAAATCTTACACGGTGAGTAAATAATAATGTTAAATTTTACCGGTAAGCACCTACGGATAAGTGTTTGGTAAATGACACCTAAATGGTTGGGTAAACAACCCCTAAATGTCTAAAATGACTGTGTAAACCTTCTCACCACACCTCATTTACGTATACAACTAGTGTTTGACACCGTGCGTTGCGTGATGACGATAATTTTTTTAAAATTATTGAAGTTAGCTAAATGAGTCGTTGATCAATGAAAATGAATAGTCTAATTAATTTAATGTTTTAATAATAATTACATCAATAAAAAACAAAGTTCGAGAAAAAGAAAATTAGTATTGCAATGCCAAAAAATGTCATCTTATTGTTGGTGTTTTTTCTTACAAAATTACAAATTAAGAAACATTAAGAAAACATTAAAAAAAACATAAGCGTCCACAACAACAAAAAAAAAAATCAAAATTCTCATAAAATTCTAAAGCGTCAACGGAGACTTCCCCTTAATCCATGTTCCAATGTCTTCTTACATATATTGATAAACTTGTGTATACTCTTATGCCATAGATGAGGGATGGAAAATAAGAGGGGAGAGCGTACGAGTAGTTTATAACTCGTACATGGAGATGGAGAACACATAAATGAAAAAAAAAAACCCTCAGAGATTGAGGGATTTAGAGAAAAAYCAGGGATTGAGTGATTTCAATGTTAGAGTTGGAACGTACCAAGAGAAAGGGAAGAGTTTTTGAGTTAAATGTGAACATTAATTTGCAAAATTACTAAGGAAAAAAAAATCAAAATGTGGAAAAAAGAGGAAAATATGATCTCTACGTCGAGGAGATGCCACATTAATATATCATGATTCTGCTTTATAGATATACTAGTTGTGTACCCGCGCAATGCGGCGGGAGCCATGAATTTTAACGATTTTGAAGTTTCATTGGTTTTATTAGAGAAGATTTAACGATGATATAAATTACACTTGTTCTTTACATATTAATACAATTTGAATAAATAAGAGTTATAGTTCAATTTGAATCTCACATTGGAGGATTGAGAGAAGACATAGAACTAATAGAAGTATGAAAAGATGTCAAAAGTATATTGGGAACATGAAAAGAAAAAGTAATAATATGCATTGATAACTTGTAC